TATAAATTTCAGACAATATTTAATAGTACGTATATAATTAGATGTTTTAGTTTCAGTCTAACTTTCATAGCAGTCGATCTATCAAGATATTTCAAAGACATAACTTTTCACCTTGTAACTTGTACATATTTGGCTGTCCTACCAAAATAAATAAAGCAATTTGCTCTGATAATAAGATTGTTTATGGAGTAATTGAATGGAAGTTTGTCGTTGACATACGTGATAGTCTCTATTTAGAAAAAAATAAGGTAATTTATATATTTATTACTTTTCCTTTTATAGAAAAGGCACTGTTTACTCTCATGAAAACCAAAACACTAAAAACTAGGCGTATCTAGTAGCTAGTGTTTTATTTAACAATAAAACCTGTTTTAAGAAAGAAGAATCATCTATTAATTCTCTTGTCTACAGTATGGCGACAGAGAATGTCAGACTTTTACCGACAAAAGAAGCCCGTCTTTTCTTTTCTTTTTTTAGGCCGAAGCCGCGATACCTTATTGGGTCCGCCCCGACTGAACATCCGCCCTTTTGAGGTCCGTCTATTGAGAGGCTACCGATAGAGTAGTTGAACTGGGTTGAGACCATCAGGTCCAGACTCTTAAGCCTCATATACGTTGCGCGGCGCGTCGGGTGTCCGTCGTACATTGCTCATTTGTTTGTGATTACGTGGGTGATTATGCAGCCCAGTGCTGCAATGTATGTACGACAAACGCACGACGCGCCCCATTTTGTAGTAATGATTACATATAGGTATATTATACTCTGAAATAACAATAAGCACATATATAGGTACGCGTGTGGCATTTAGGTTCCTTGGGGACATTTAAAATTCCTATAGAAGCGTGAATAAAACTGATTTAATAAATGTTGTTACGAACGTTATGAGTAAAATCTAGCTCAATTTGAAAGACCTAATGTGGTATATTTATGAACTATATATTTTTTACAACGACTTAATCGCGTGCGTTTATCGAGAAAAGCTCTAATAGTTTCAATTCGCAACGGGACTCATATTCATGAGCAGTGTGTGCTTCGCGGCGAATTCGCGCAGCGCACATTGATCACTTAATAAAATTGTCGAATCACTGACCACTTAATTCACACGTGAGTGAGTCGTCGTAATTTATATGCCTTACGATAGTTACAATACATAAAAAGTTAATGTTATTTCATTTTAAACTAGATATGAAACATACATCTATTAGTACCTATCGAATAAATAATTACGATCTAACTACTGCTATAAAAGTTTTTATCAATATTAATCAAGATGCTGTCGAAATGATAGTGCGGTTCGATGTCTGCCTGTCTTAGCTTTAAGGCCTAAATAATAGGAATACATTTATTCACATTCTATTGCATTTATCAAGATTCCGAGCTTATCAAAAGAGTGATTTAAGACATAATATTATTAGTGTAACGAATCAATAACAATAAAATTGTGTAAGGATATTTTAAGGCAACCAGTCTTGACAGTTTCTAATAATGGTCTAAACTAATATTATAAAGTTAAAAAATTTGTTTGTTTGCTTTAACGCGCTATCTCTGAAACTACTGGTTCGAATTGAACAATTATTTTGTGTTTGATAGTCCAATTGTCGAGGAAAACAATAAAACATCACGATGCGATTAATAGTAGTCAAGCAGCGGTTGGCTCGCAAGGAGTAGTTAGTGGGTCATTATCGTCAGAAGATGGAGGAGGGTGCTTCCACTGCCGATCAAAGGCTTATTAGTTTTACACTACGCTCACTTAAATTGGTAACTAATTAGTTAAATATAATTGTGTGCCTTCAAAACTTCTAAGAAAGAAATATTCCACAGTAGGATTTTCTTCTGTACTCTAAGTGTGTTTACAAACAAAAACATGACGCCCAAATCAGAATAATAATAGTAAGCTATCTCACTTCGACCCCTTTATCTCAATGTGAGATCACGTGAATTTACCTTTAATTCTGCGAAATTTGGATAAACTTATTTTGCTACACGAACCAATTGACATAAAATTTCTTTCATGTTTTTAAATCCTTACGGGAATAATTTTTCTCAAAATTATATAGGCATATACAAGACAGTAAATGAGCAGACTTGTTCCCTGGTGGTAAGGAATGAACGCTGCAACACCTTTTTTGTCAGGGGTAATCATCAAATGACTTCTCCCACCCAGGGTTAGGCGAGAGAGAGTGTCAGACTCTTACTGACTACAACTCCCTCCCCCCGATCCTTCTCCTGCTCTGGGTCGAGGCCGCGGTGACTCATTGCCCTTAACCCGCAACCCTGGCTGAACATCAGCCCTATAGAGCCCCGTCTGTGGTGGTCCATTGGCTCTTTGAGGCGCGCGCGGAATACGCTCGGGTCTGGATCTGGTCGGGAGGCGAGCTAACGCTGCAACACCTAAGATTAGAATGAAGGGATCAGTTCACAGAAACTAGTGTTTAAGTAAAGGTATAATAATGTTACCTAAATAATTTCTCTATTGCGAAAACTATAATGAAATAGGAAGAAAATTGTACAGCCAACACCACCATTATTACTGACCATAGCTTTGAGCGCTAAATTGCTAAATAATAGCTCGTTCTAAATTTAATGTACTCTAATTATGCCACAATGTTTGACTTGTATAAACAAACATTGGTTACAAATGTTGGTTGATAAGGGCCAATCGTATGTTTCCTTCCTAATGAAGTAAGTAACGTTGGATATGCAAAAAATCGTTAATTTTTGGATATGTGTATATTAAGACGTCAAACCTGACATAACAAGTTTAGAAATATATCGCGATCTTCTTTTAGCTACAATTTTTAGCTACTACACTGCCAGTACATACCACATTTTTGAGTGATATCTCATAGTTACTAAAAAATTAATAAAAATTAAAAGTAAACGACACGTCATTGACGTCACTCTCGAAACATTTCAAAATAATGGTATGTTTACATTACCGACTACTTCTTTGTTAGGTTGAAAATTCTGGCTATCAATAGACAAAGAGGTCACACGGTTTCATATTAAAACATTCTTAAAAATCATTCTATTGTTGCCAAAAATAACGCCAAAAAAACGAAAATAATAATTCAAAAAATTCAAGCATTAGAAAAAGAAATTGCGGCGTAAAAGGAGCGTAGAGGCGTGTCTGCAATACATATTGGTCGACAGGGGTTCCCACTTACCATCCGATGTATTATTGATGCGCCACCAAAGCCTCCCATTAAATTTTCATTGCTTTATCACCCAACATTCGTAATATGTATGAGAGCAGTAATTGCTTACATGATTTTTAACCCATTCACACAAGCCACTATGAGTTTCAGACCTTTGTGAAAAGAAATTAAAATGCATCTCTCTGATACTTTTTTTGCTGCGTTGTGGTTATTGTTTCGGAAGAAAGGTAATGAATAAAAGCACTTGAAACGTGGTGTAAAGTTGAATGATTCTAATTTTAATAAGAACAGTTTTTGATAAAGTGTGTTAAAAAAGTGATAACGGCTATCAAATCATCACTACATACGTAGAATAAAATAAAGTCGCTTTCCCTATCCCTATATGATGTACAAGTATATGTACGCCTAAATCTTTAAAACTGGGCCACTGATTTCGATGCGTGTTTTAGAGATAGATTCATTGAAAAGGAAGTTTTTATATATATAACAACATCCATTCAAAAATAGTGGAGATGTTTTATATCAGCATTACACCCGAGTAAAGCCGGGACGTGTTGCTAGTAACCAATTAAATTCTCGCCCCAATGCGTTTTTTTTTTCATACGCAATATATTGCAGTTATTTAATAATTACTAGTACAATAACACTTTTACAAGTATGTTTTATTCGGAAACAAAACAATTATTAAACACAAAAGAGTACTTGCATCCATTTCGTCGACACAACCCAAAACAAATCAACGGACACAATCTGTTTCGAGTGCCATACGATTGAGGTCACACCCACACACTAGACTGAATCGCATGTAGGCACTCGCTAACCGACGCTAATATTTTAAAACAGTTCATTGACAGACCAAGTTGCAATTGCAACAAACATACGTAGCGAATAAATTCTCAGAACGATTACGCAACAAATCTAGTGTGTATAACTGACATATCGATGTTTAGACTCCCAGGCGACAGTAACAAACGCAACCGCCTATTGCCCACCCATTGGGAGTCGATTATTCATATTTATCGATACCCGACTAACGAGCATCCATCTGTTTGCGGTGTGATATGAATAAAACATCGATTGTTCACAATACGCCCGGCTCTATACCGAAAACGCAAGCTCATGTAATTACCGGATAATTTTATCAACGAAAACAATCAGAGGATATGATAAATTGAAGATTATGAAACCAATATTCATGATGATCCTCAATGAAAATTTGAATTCAATGAATGAATAATATTATCGATATTTACTGAGATGTAAGTAAATGATGTGTGTACACTTGAAAGGGAATGTACTGAATCTACTCAATAATTATATTGGATTTATAAGTAGCTTATAGCGATTAAATCACGATATAATAAATTATAATCGTTTTATATATTAAAATTGTGCGACTAAACGTGTAGATAATAATTTAATACTGTATCTCCAAGTGCTTATACGGTAAGGAGATAATTAACACAAATTATGTTGCAGACACAAAAAATCAACAGCTATCATTGACCAAACCCTTATACAGATTTAACAGCCATAGAAGTAAGAATATTCACATACATGCTGGCTGGAAATATTCCAAACTCAGTAAGTCGTGTTTTACATTAAATACAATGAAAGTATGGAGTTGCAAATAATCACTCATTCCACCTTTACGGTGTGTTATTAAAGGCAAAGGTTAAGCTGAGTTTAAGGTCTCAAACTGGTTTAACAGCTGTTATCAAGTGATGCATAACCCATTGTTCAATGAGGGAGAAATTGTTAAAGCGTTGGATGTATAAAAGCTTGCAGCTTTTGGCGGTATTGACAGTCATTGATTAAAGGTTAAGGAAAATAAACGCCAAGATGATACACAAGGTGAGTGGAAAAGGACGCAAGACAAAAAAAAAATTCTTATTTCATGGACATTAGATTTGACCCACATCTCGCCTGAACTCGCATGTTGGCAAACAATGATGCGATTTGAAAATAAAACTATTGCTTTCTTGCTTACAGGTACTGATACTGCTGTGCCCTATCGCTTTAGTGAATGCAGGAATAATAAGTACTGATGGAGGAACTTACTCATCAATATCCACACCGAACTTCAAAAATATTCCAAGCCACGTCGTTGAGAAAACTGTTGCCACACCAATAACTTACACGAGAATAGTTCAACCGGCTCCCGTATATCACTCCATATTGTCTACCAAAGAAAGTAACTACGAAAGTCCAGATGGCATTCAACATACAACATTTACAAAATCTTTGGATACAGGTTACGCAACCGTCAACAAGCATGAATCAAGGACAAACGATGGCACAGCTGATTTAAATCCAAGCATTTACTCCTCTGTGAGCCATTCTCCTATAGCAAATCATCAAGAACCGTCGTACGACATTTCTTCTCCTTTCGTAACCAAATATGAATCAGTTCCCGTTACTTATACTACGCACGAAGTTCCATCAACAAGAACAGTAATATCACCGTCTTTATCTTCGTATTCAACACTGGATAAAACTAAGTTCGCTACTTCAGGGTTGTCATCATATTCATCGAATTTACCAGTGGTGGAGTCTCAACCACTTAAAACTACTATAACATACTCAGAAGCTCCATTAGTTTCTCACATGTCGTTCACAGGTTTAGGAACAAGTTATGCTTGGTGAATTACTAAAATTTTTCCCTCACATGGTATGCGCGACTGACTGCTTGATTAAGTATAATTTATGTTTAAAATGTTACGTTTATGTAAGGTAAAATTATATGTCATAAAATAAATATGTCTGCATCATATTTGTGATTCATTTCTCAGTACGTAAAACTTTTCTTTTGATCCTTCTCCTGAACAGAAATCATTATTTATACAAACACTTGTTCTAGTATTTGGAGTTGGTAACATTTCACACGTCCAATTTGTGCATTCTACGCGATAATTATTAGGCAATGTGCTAACTTTGAATCACGCCATTAGGTTCTAAGCTCCAGTCTAGACTAATTCAACATTCTAGTCCATTTAATAATTAAAACTTTTCTTTGGAATAAGAAGTTTTTATACAAACTTATTTCAGAGTACTTGAGACATCGTTATTATTTAATATTTGATCTCGTTTCTTTTACTAGGTTCTTGCTCAGTTAGTTTTGGGAGGTATTGAGTCTTCACATTGTTAGATCCGAATCTACGATAACGTTAGCCATTGTCAGCAATGCAACACCCAATTTACGAGCTTTGGTTTGCAATTATAACGGGTTCAAATCCAAACACTATTATAGAAGTAATGTCTAAATAAAATAATTTTTCAACACACTTCCTCATTAAGTGGCTCTAAACCAATTAGGCACCGTCCTCGGTAACCACCAACATTACACACTTGCACATATATAGTATACATATATAGTACATTATACTACCAATCTCCTAATAATACTATAAATAATACTATCTAATACTGAAGTGGCAGTGGGCAGGTCACATCTGTCGAAGAACCCATGACCGCTGGAGTAAACGTGTTATAGAGTGGAGACCACGTCCACCACGTAGTGTAGGGCGCCCTCCAGCTAGGTGGACTGACGACATCCACAGGGTGGCTGGCAGTGGTTGGATGAGAAGAACTGAACATCGAGCTCGGTGGCTCGCAATTGGGGAGGCCTATGTCCAGCAGTGGACGACAACAGGCTGATGATGATGATACTACTAATCTTATTCTTTCTTTACCATCACCATCATCTGCCCGAAGACGTCCACTGCTGGTCAAAGGCCTCCCCCTTAGTCCTCCACCTCGAATGTAGCCACCTCCATCCATTGGCTCCCAGCGACTCTGACAATGTCATCGGTCCACCTAGCGGGGGCCTGACCACTCTACGTTTCTTTATCATTTGATGGTAATCGAAAAATGGATCACGATCAATCGACGCTGAGTTACAATTACGATGCTGGCCTGTTAAAAGTATGGGATTATATTCCAGGTTTTGTAAACCGCAATCACACGGAGAAGCGCGAAGCAAACGTTGTTTGACAACGCGGTTTCTATGTATTTGGCTGTACTCCGGTACAGACAATGGTACCGAAGCAATATCCCTCCCACACTTCCAGATATCGAGTATATATATAGGTATATAGGTATATATTCTGAGCACGAGAACAGGAAAAAATAATAATTAAAAGCACCCAGCTTTTCTCTCTTCTCTGCATCACCTTTTGACTGCACGGTTGGTGCGGTAGCTAGGCAACTGGCTGCTGTGCAACGTGTTGCGGGTTCGATTCTCGCACGGAACAACACTTTTTTGTGATCCACAATTTCTTGAGTGATGTGTATTTGAAATGAAGTGTTTGTAAACGCACCGACGACAAGAAATTTCTAGTGTGAGGCAACGTTTTTTTTAAAAACTTACAAATCTAACCTATAGGTCAGGCGTTAAGTCCATCTATACAAAAAATTTGTGCATAAAGCTTGAATAAATAAAAAAATGGATATAATAAAAACAATAACAACAAACATATCTATTGAAATCTGATTCACAGAATTCTTTTTACACAAATAGCAGCAACAAAACAGTAACAGAATTATTTTAAATGTAAAGCCCGGCTTTTGTTCAAAACAAATTGTAATGAAGCTTTACAACAGTTGATAAATAAAAGTTAAATCTATATTTAGCGCGTGAAATACGGCGCTTCGTCAAAATGTTTCAATATTTCAACTGAAATAGAATATTCATTCAAAATTTAATCCGTTTTAGGCAAAGCCTGACAACATCCTACGCATTCTACTGAATTGTGTGTCTGCCTATGTATGTATATCTACGCATTATACTTTAAACTTGAGTAAAATTATATGTTTATGTATGTAAGCATTTTTTTTGGATTACAAGCTTTCGCCTGCGGCATCACCCGCGTGGTAAGTTGTCTCGACCGGAGTGAGACCACGACCTCACAGAAAACCGGCGTGAAACAACCACAGCGTTGTGTTTCGTAACTCCTCTGTTGCGAGTGTCCATGGGTGGCGCTGATTGCTTTTTTTGTGAGGTGGTGAAAATCATCAAATGTCTTGTCTCGCCCATTTGTCTCAGACTCTTACAAGCTAAAAACGTCCCCGTTTCTTCTCCTGCTCTGGGCCGAGGTCGCGGTGCCAACCCCGGCTGAACATCAGCCGTATAGAGGCCCGTCTGTGGGTCTATTGATTGATTACCTAATGGTAAGCACCATCAGGTAATACGTAGTTCTCGTTTACCGATCTTTTACTTAAAAATAAAAAATTACACCATCCACTTTCCTGACTTAACATGCCTACGATAATGCTCCAATTATACCAAACGACGCGTGAAAAAGATCGAATAAATCACCTACGCACAATTCAAAAGCTGCATAGCATTTTAAGTATTAACATTTACCTACAATATAGTATCCTGTTACATTAGCCACACGTGCGTCACAATCTGTGATCAGATTACCACACGAGGCGGGTCCAATCCGTGGTTGGTCACAATAGGTGAGTGGTCACAGTACCGGACCTGATAAAGATGTATTATGGCCAGTATTTACGTTACATACTCGACTTGCTCACGATTGACCTGTCCAGGTGCGTTGCAAAACGCAACCTAAGCGCGGTACACATGGATCGTATTGCGTTGTATTAAGTTGTGAACATTAAAAAGGTGTATAAGTTTTCGTAGTTTTCTTTTTGGCTTTGATTTGATTTGTTTATGTTGTTAGATAATCAGGTAGTTTCCTAGGTCTAAAGAAATTAATTCGACGTTCCGATAGAATAAAATATTGAAAAATAACTATACTTTTATTCATTGATCGATCGATGACTTTTATATATTTTGTACCTAATTTTGAAGAAATAAGTAGGCTATTTGACGCTAAAATGCGGTGACGTCATAACTTAGTGTTTCATACATAAAAATGTATCATTTTTGACATTCGGATAATAGTATTGAATTTGACTAGTCTGAAACTACTTACCGTATTTTAGAACTGTCAGATCAATTAAGACAATTTACCTACTCAGTATCATCAATTTGGAAGATTTTTCTTTCTGATGTATGTATGAGCCTAGAGACTAGATAAGAACGTTTAAAAAGCAGAACAAAGGCAACATAATTTGTAGTTATGTTAACATTAAATTCTATCACAATATAATATGTAATACGAGTACTAAAAACCCAAATATATTTGCATGCTTAGGTTATATTTACTATATATACAAGGGTCTTAAATGAAATTATACGCACAAACAATGGCCTTTTTTATGAATTGTATTACATTTTTTTAACATTTATTTTTTCGGAATTAGTACTAATGTCACATAAATCCCTCCTCTTCCCCTATCCCTTCCCAATCCTTATATCCGCAACTCCCATCCCCAAAAGGCCGGCAACGCACTCGTAACTTCTTTGGTGTTGCGGGAGTCCATGGGCGGCGCCGACTGCTTACCATCAGGTAATCCGTCTGCTCGTTTGCCGACCTATACCATAAAAAAAGACATAAAGTTATTATAACTCTCAGGTTCAATATATTCTTTGAAAAAATGTATGTCACAGAAGGTACCATTATTGGCCTACTAAAATCAAGAAGTTTCAATGTTTTAGCGTGTAAGTGGGCGAGTTATATTTCATCGTGACATCTGTCATGTAATGTGACTATGAGACGACTTAGAATATCTTGGCCAAGCACCTTGACCTTGTAAAATGAACATGGTACGTGTAATACAAAGGAGAAGAATGTTTTCGTCAAGATATTTTATACAAAACATAATCCTCAAATGGATTATCTGTAGCTTATAATATGGCTTGAAAATTTAAGGGTAACCCTTTTGCTTCAAAGCCACATTAGACAGATACCACACTCTCCTAAAAATACCAAAAGTAACTCTTAAACTTTACACTCAAAACTCGGATGTCGGTCTCGATACCAATATCGACGCTCGTACACCGAATCAAGTTTCCGACCTGTCCTAACCCAATGTTCAATTATACGTGAAGTGACTCATGCAACTACTGATTTCATTACAAAAAAGTTGTAATGAAATCAATAGATTAGAATTAAAACGCTGCTTCGTTAATGTGGGAATGTAATAAGATAGAGAACTTTTCCTTGGATTAGGATGGCGAAAAAAAAGGGAAGATTATTTACAATAAGACAAATATATACCAAATTTGCCGAACAGCTTGAAAGAAAGGCAGAAAAAAGTAATATAGTTAATATTTATCATTTATTTAGTATTAGCAGCGGTATTTAGTATTTATGATCATAACCCCATTATATTCATTTTTATTTTAAGCTGAAGACTATTACAAATAATTAAATAATAGCAAATCCCAAAATAAAACATGCTATGACTTATAAATTCACATTCATTTTCATGTTCAACCACCGATTAACATAATTATTGTAAATAACCGTGGGATATACAAAATTTATTGACTGATTTACTCACAAAATAAATATTTAGTAAAGTCGGCTCGCCGACGTACACCCTGCTCATGAATAAGGGCCCCGTTGTGACTTGAAACTAGTAGAGAATTCACGAATTTCTTTAAAAATATAAGAACAAACTATAATTTAACTACATCCTATGCGGTCTAGATACATGTACGCCAGCCTTTTGAAATGCCAGTATATTGCCCTTAAACAAAAGCACTACACTATACAGGCTTGCATAACTAAGATACTAAAGTTTCATATGAAACTGTATGCACGCCACAGCTAATCTAGGCTGTCGTAAAGTTTATCTACTGCGCGAATCAACGACGTCTAGATAATGCAGGACTTCGTCAAATAAAAGGACTTTTCAAGGTTATTCAGTTTGGTAACAAATACAGGAAAATATTTTTTTTATAGATCGGCCATATCTATTTGTTTTGCAGGAAGAGTAGGTATATTTTCTATCTCTGTTTTAAATATTATTAAAATGTTTTTTTTTGAAATTTCAAACATAAATATTAAATTATAACTTAATAAACAAACATGTTTAAATAGAAGTTATACATGTATCCTAGACTTTAAAAATGTAATTCTATATTTAGAATAGAAATTAAATAGTCAAGAAAATACCTTTTTTCTTATCAATAACGTAACAATATTTTGATTTACCCTAAGGACCGCTTTACACAACACAACTAAGTAGGTTGCATAAAACATACAAACACTAAGATCAAATTGAATCAAAAAGGGGTGTTACGTCATAGGCATAAAGTCTAAAGTTGGGCAACTCAAAATCTGATCCTAATTTAACAAGACAATGTCGATAAATCCATCTTAATCGATCATGATACTAATGACCGATAAAATCAAAACTTTACCAATATTAGAAGATTTTGAATGAGATAAAGACAGAGAAGCCTTGCAAACTTAATAAAAAAGACAAATTAATTAGCCATAAGACACTTAAGATTAGTTTATGAGTGAGTTGCAGGAAATTCAAACTAAGAACTCAGCCAATTGACGGAGCCTGGATAGTGATTTCTAAACTAGTTGTTTATTTAATAAGGAACTTTGTAATTAGCAGGAAATATGATTCATTCAAGAAACAATGGTTGTTGATTGTGATGCATTGAGATTGCGTCAAAAGTATCAAGCATTGGTTTTTTCTTAGGAATTCTATTTAGATTGCCAAGATAGTTGACTGCACGGTTGGCGTAGTTGCTGGACAACTGGATGATGTACAACGTGTTGCGGATTCGATTCCAAAAAGAACTACATTTTGTGTGAATTTTTATTTTCGTAAACGCATTCACGACATAGAAAACAATCGTAATGAAGTGCAACATTTATAAATAAAAAAAAATATTCTTCTCATTCTTAATGCACAGACTGCCATTTAAAATTGTGTCGATGTTTGCAAGCATTTGTTTTTTTCAATGCTAAATAATGATTTAAATAAGTATGCATATCTAATAATGACTTTATCTCTGCTTAATGTTGGACTTGTAAGAGCATTACTTTTCAATAAAATAATTAAAGGACCAACTTGGAATTATGCACATTTCCAATGTATATACGTCCAAACGAGCAGATTTCTTTCAACGTTGTAAGAATGATAATTATAATAGGTTCGATTTATTAAGCTGCATACTAAGTAAGTCGTATTTGCCGTAGTAGTCATAGCGCACAGGATATCACATCCTTGAGAATTTTCCCGCGGACGAAAGGACCGATTCTATCGACCTACTTTGAAACCAGATTTCTAAATTAAAAACTATTCAGAACAGAATTACAACCAAAAAATTGGTCCAAAATATTTTAAGTTCTTTTAAAGTTCAATCAACTGATTTCCGATTTCGTAGTTTACTTTAAAAAACCTTCCCTTGATAAAGAGTTTTATTTTTGTACAAAGGTTAAATAAATCTTTTGCAGTGCCTTTCATATCACCTTGTACGTTTTGATAGGAAAAAAATCCATAATTTGTAATATTCTCCTAATGGTATGGTTTGTAAAATTTTCGCATGTGTTACATATTGGTTTGGTGGCATACATTTTGGGCGGTCAATTTGTGACAGGGTCCTAAGTGGAACTTGCGATACTAGACCACATTTGGTACATGCGCCTGCGCTCGCGGGGGTAACGAGTCTAGTATAAAAGTGCTTGTGTGTACACAGACCGTATCACTTGCCGTAGTGGATTTTATTTATCATAATGGCTGCTAAGGTACTTTATTTTTATAGTGTGCTAAATAAAATTATATTCAATTAATTTTACAAATATTGAAGTGAAAGATTTTTATCGTTACTTTTAAATTTTAGCAACAATTTTAGTTTTCACTTAAAAAGGGCAAAAGAAATTCAATTAAAAATTTAAATATAAATAAAATTAAAAAGAGACAAACACATTTTCATCATGATTTGCAACCTTGGTCATTTATTTTTTGAAGTCTCATGCAAAACTTCAATGTAATTTTTCTAATCAATACTTATATGAGATTTTGATTTGTGTTCTCTTATTTCAGTTACTAGTCCTTTTGTGCGCGTTGGCGACAGCCCGTGCTGGTGGTCTTTACGCGGCCGGTCCCGTGGCGTCATACGCCGCCGCTCCCCTGGCATCATACGCCGCAGCTCCAGTCTACAAAAGCTACGCTGCGCCCGCAGTAGCATACTCCGCGCCCGTCGCATACTCAGCACCTGTTGTAAAGGCGGTTGCACCCGCAGTGTCATCCATCTCTTCATACTCCACCCACACCGCACACGCAGCACCATTGGTGGCTAAATCTTACGCCCCTGTGGCCACTTACGCCGCTGCTCCTGTAGCGACCTACGCCGCTCACGCCGCTCCTGTGGCATACGCCGCACCCGCTGCCTACGCTGCTCCAGCGTACAGTCACGCAAGCTACGCCGCCCCTGCTGCCTACACCACATACGCCGCTGCCCCCGTCGCCACATACGCCGCCGCTCCCGTGGCGTACGCTAAATCATACGCTGCTCCCGCGGTGACTTACGCTCACTCTGCACCCGTAGCCACATACGCCGCTGCTCCCGTTTACAAGTCCGCCCTGACTTACTCCGCGGCCCCTGCTGTCTCTCACGTGGCATACAACGGCCTTGCGTCTCACTACGGCTGGTGATCGCCTTAAAGATTGTACAAATCTAGTTGTTTATGTTTTGTATATATTTTTTTATACAATGAAAATAAAAAAGTTAAATTGGTAATTAAGTTGGTGTTCTTAATTTGCCTTAGTATCTCTGTTTTCGACTGCTGCTTGTTATATGAAATAACTGCTGATAAAACATAACAATATCGACGTCATAACTTTTCAGGTAGGCTTGCAAGAAATTTTTAATAAATACTTAAACATTTACATGCATCCTTAATAAACTGTATATTGTAAAGAATGCCGATATTAGTAATTAAACCTTGTTGCCTACATATTTCGCCTATCTTACATTTTTAATAGGAAAAGGAAAATCCGCTACGAATTAATTTGTTGTTAATTAATGAATAAATTAGTTATATTCCAAAAAATACTTTCAAGTATTTTTGCCGCTGATCTTAACTACATAACAATTTAAGATATAACAAACGATAAATCTTTCAACAATATAATGTATTAAACATATAATTATCACAAACAAAATATTTAATCGGTATGCAATTAAAAGTCTTTACAAACTCCTTCAAGCCTTACAGTATGACGTGTTAAAATCATGATAGCCATCACTATAATCACTATCATTGTCTTGACCAAGGCTAGTTAGAACTATCAAAACTGTGCAAAAATAGTCTTTATTTCGTAAGCCACAAGAGTTTCACAGAGGCTTCTACAATTTTATACAAAACTAATTTAAAATGTATCATGAATCTGATTAAAATACCTTTTTTTAAACATGTTATAGGAGACGTAAAGAAGGAGATTTTATTTAAAAGCTACTGGGTTCTGCCAGCGGTTTCATCCGCAATACCACGTTAAAGAATAGCCTATGTGTGATTCCAGATCCGCTCACACATCCATCTTTGCAAACTTTCGTGTAAGATTTTAGGCACTATTCCATTTCGTAATTGTAATGCAACATCTGATGGGTGAGCTCTAGTTAACGCCTTGGACTTGTTTCCACAAATTAGTAATGTTTATTAGTATCACTCGTCGAGTATAAATCCAAAACAAAGCCATCCATTCGTGAAGAAAAATAATTCTTTCAGATTTTGTGTGATTGTTTACTATTGCTATTGCTAGTCACCGTTATACATTTCAAAGTCTGCCAAGAATTCTGGAGGCAAAATCCTCCCCTTTTCCCCGTCTTTGATTCCCCAATCCCCAACACAAACCTCAATTCTCAAATCCTTAAACTCCAAAAGGCCAGCTACACACTTGCAACTCCTTTGGAGTTGTCGGTATCCATTGAACCAACCAGAATCGCTCATGTGTCAACGTGTGTGCCTCTCTAGGTCATAAAAAAGCAAAACCATGTATATGTATATATACCTATCTATATACCTTAGAATTTGTTATGAATACAAGTATTGAATACAAGTATATTATCAAGGTCAAAAATGGCTCAACATTTGTAAATTAAACAAAAGATTTTGCAAAACAAAAGCAAACATTCCACATGAATTACGTACAAATTAAAAAAAAAACAATTTTAATATAAAAGAACGAAATGCTCTAGAATTAAAGAAACACTCCTTTGATAAGGTCAATCTTTGCAAGCAAAGAACAGAGGCCTATGAAACGTCCATGACTTGTATGTACCTAGTTAAAGGCCAAACGAACATTAAACACGTCATTTAAAACAATTGCGGACGCAAGGACCAAAATTAGTTATGTTCAGTTCACAGAAATATTTCGCAATGTTTCTCACTTGACATAGATTACATTTTAATAGACAGTATGTATAAATGCAAGCTGTGTAAAGACAGATTATTCAAAAATAACATAAACTGTCGTACTCAGAGATATTTAATGATCACTTAAACTATAATTGAGTTACAATTTCTGCTAGAGGTTACAGTTTGTACCTAAGTTGATCTAGATTCGCAATAAAATAGTTTTGTAGATGAAATGCTAGTAATGTGAAACTAAATTTCTTTAGTACAACACTAAATCAAATAGCTCACAGAATTAGTTAAATAATTATTTCGAACATTAATTAAAAGGACGTTATGCTTTGTTACATTAATGTGATGCCAGTAAACTTTATTTGATATTGTGGAACTTACTTAAACGTATAATTCCTGATCATGTCAAACAAAATTGAATAACAAAACTCAGGACATACAAGGCTTAAATCGATTATCGAATTGAATTGACAATAACCAATCAATAATACGTATAAAAAATATGTCAACAACCTTATAAAACGTGCAATTCTCACATAAATACGGTTTATTGCACAAATAATTCGCACACGCCTGCGGCCAGCGCTCGCGCAACGTTCATTCAGAAATAAAATGGCTTCTGGTCACATTTTTTGGATACTGTGTCAATTGGGCGACAATTTTATGATGAACGGTACTTATTACGTATGGCACAAGTCATATTTGTAAACGGATTTTTAAGGCGACGACATTTACATTGTTGTTATTCTTGAACCTTTTAAAAATAGTATAGTTCTGTGATTTCTACTCAAGATTACGTTCGACATAACACACGTATCTGGATGAAATTAAACAAAACTAGCAATCATTAAAATTAATAAAACCGTCCTTTCTAATAATGTCGACATTTCTCAAACCACCTTGCTTTATTAAAGTCTGATTAAAGGCTACGCACACGATGACAACAATGCACATAATTCAATAAAACTAATACCTACGTATATATCTTATATACATCATCATAAAATGTGGTGGCAAGGAGGTTAAGGAGCCCGCTTCTCACGCATGAAGGTTCGAAACCTGGCTAGTACCAATGTGACTTTTTCCGAGGTTTATGTGCTTTCTATGATTATTTAGGCACCACTGACATAGGTGAAGGTAAACATCGTGAGGAAACCTGGACTTATAATTTCTAATTACAAGTTTGAAATCACCAACCCGCATTGAGCAAGCGTGGTGATTAATGCTCTAACCTTCTCCGTATGAGAAGAGGCCTTTGCTCAGCAGTGAGCACTTATAGGCTGATGATGATGATGATGAATACTTACTTGTTACAATAGTTAAAATATATTTTTATATACAAGAGATATCTGCACCACAGACCTATTTAACGGTCACACAATTCATCTAGAAAAATTGGTACCGTGCCAATACATATGGGTATTTTTTCGCTTTGTTACATATATTTTTGTACGAAGGAACGTTTTATTTATTTACTTTCATAGTCAGTAAGCGGTAGGGAAGTTGTTTGAGAACCTAGATATTACAGTTATATATCATTATGATTAGTGTACCAAGTTATGTATCTTGTTATTTTATTTCCCTAACGTATACTGAGATCTCGTTTGTGTGTCTGTCTATTTGTTTTTATCTTATAAGTTATTGTTTGTAAAAAAAATAGTAAAACTCCTTGTTAAGTCAAAGTCAAAAATCATTTATTTCAATTAGACCACAGTAGGCACTTTTGAACGTCAAGCAAGCAAAAAAGGAAAAAAGTATATAAAAAGAGCTTTAAAATTAAGCGTGTCAGTCTGTCCGTCTGTCCTCTAGTGAAGCTGTTTCCAAGGAAGTGAGTGGTAGAAACAACAAAACAACCATTCTGATTCCCATCTGATAATGTTCTGACATATCTCCTAAAAGGTCCACATAGAAATGAACACTATTCTAGGATAACTTTTCATTCGTTTTTTTTTTTCAAACAATCCCTTTAGTACGTATTTTTATTTAAAATTACCTCTAAATGACTTTATATTGATTACTTACATAACTGAAAAAAATCGATACATTCAGATCTAAACAGATATTTCTTGTCTGCCATTCTGAGGGAAACAAGCATGTCATTATTTCTATAATGTCCCAACAAACATATTACTTAGGCTGACACTACCAGGCATGTTGAGAAATTATTTAGACAAGAACTAGTACTATGTATATGGAAGGTCTGTCACAAAAAAGTCTATTTTATTGTGACAACACATGTTGCATGTCAACGGACAAACTTGTTATCCTTATTGTAGTATAATGAAATCTGGTCCTTCTGTCCGCATGTTGTAATGCGTTCTAGGTATTGTGGCAGTCGTATTACGAAATGTGAATGATGTTAGAATGAAACCTGTATCGCTTAGAAGGATATCCCAAAATATTTATAATATATGACTTCTTCGATAGCTTCGATTTCCAAGAAGTTTAAATTTACCACTTAAAATTTCATTACTAAAACAAAAAATCAATGAAAGTTCTGTCGAACCTCTTGAGTACTTACGAAAATTACTAACTCTGATTAAATGCGAATAAATACGACTTTATAACAAGTTTTATAGAGTAACTATGCTATTTAATCGACAAGTAACCTTTTAGTAGATTAGTAAATATTAATTTGTATATTTATCTAGTTTATTTTGCCTTCAATAAGGACTGCTTTCAACTTCTAAAGACTTGAACGTCCATTCCGAATATAATGCAACTCCAAAAAGACCAAAAAGGACCATGAACAAAACTCACCGATTCCTTTTTTGCTTTATTCGTCCACTTTGCTAAACCCAATTCACTATAATCAAAGTCAATCAACGTGCAAAATCAAAACATTATATAGAATATAACAATCAGCATGTCAAATAAAAGCAGTCACACAACCCGTGTCACTAATAATAGACACGAATACCTAATGAGAACTTTGGATCATTAGTCATATTGCTAAAAATATTTATTTAGAAACGAAACGCCACAGGGCATTGTAGTATACAAGTTGATAAACATATTACAAAATATATGTAGATATTACACACGCGTATGTACCTAGTTTTTGCTCGTGACTCGTTATCGAGCTGCCTGCCAGTCTATGGGTCAGCGACCCCTTTGCAACTTTTGACCTTAGAATACAATATTCATGTACAAAATGAGATACCAGGATTCGATACTAGTTTATTTATCTTTTTAAGTAATAGGCCGGCAAACGAGCAGACGGATTACTTGTTGGAAAGCAATCAGCGCCGCCCATGGACACCCGCAATAACAGAGGAGTTACGAGTG